ACCCTAAATACGTTTTGTCACAAAAGCCATTTGTTCATTGTTAAGGCACTGCAAGTTCATGTTTTACAGCCGAAACAGACATGCACGAGCACTGTTCTCAAACAGAACCTGAGAAATCCGTTCAGCGAATTAGCGTTCAGTATTCAGGTCAGGTGACGCCCCACGAACAGTATTTTAGGCAGAATCTCAAATGGCTCTCTTCTCCCTACAAAGCAGATCTTAAAATAATGGCTACTGCATCTAAACAGCGCACAGTATGTCTAACAAAGAACCACTTTGGATTCAGCCATATGTGCGCAATTCATACTGAACCTAAAGTGTTAGGTGTTAAAAGGTGTTAAAGCCAATATTTCATAACTCACCTAGTCCAGTGCTGTTTTTGTTGCAATTTTCAGCACTTTACCTACTGGTTTTGTGTTAAAGAATGTTAAATATTGCACTTAAAAGAAACTTGTATCCATTAAATGGCTTTGTTTAATTCCGAAACATGGAATGACCGTTGGAGTTTTTAAATGGTGCATCAGCAAGCTTCTTGTTGGAAAGTGACTGCTGCACCATTTAAGGTGGAACGGGAAAACTCAATTGAAAAGCTGGCGAATAGGAAGCCAACTTTAGCTTCGTCCTTCGTACTGTGTTTTGGGAGGTTATTTAATTTTATGTGTATTAAGATTAGAAGTGATTCACACATTGATGGATTTGCTGATGTGTGTGAGATTATTTTTCTGGAGCCTTGTGCTAAACTTGGTTTTAACATCAGGTGCAGACTGAATACTTTTCTGCTTGTCTAGACAGGGGGGCAGCACGGTGGCGCAATGGGTAGCGATGTCGCCTCACATCAAGAAGGGCCTGGGTCTGATTCCCTGCCAGGCGACCAGGGCCCTTTCTGTGTGGAGTTTGTTTCTCCCCGTGTCTGTGTGGGCCCCTCCTGGGTGCTCTGATTTTCTCCCACAATCCAAAGACATGCAGTCAGGCCAACTGGACACACTAAATTGTGTGTGAATGTATATGTCTGTCTGCCCTGCGATGGACTGGTGACCTGTCCAGGGTGTTTCCTGCCTTCCGCACAATGATTGCTAGGATAGGCTCCAGCCCCCCCGTGACCCAGAAGGATAAGTGCCTTAGAAGGTGTGTGTGTGTGTGTGGTCCAGACGACTGATTAGCATGATCAGTTATTAAAGAAATAAAGGCTACCAAGAGCAGTCTGTGCAACCTACATTAATCTATGCCTGAGGATTTTAACACCGAATTTGGTGAAAATCAGTTGAGTAATAAGGAAGTTGTGGCCAATTTAATCCTGAGACTCATCACCTCTTAATACAAGTGAATTTGTTCACAAGTGGATCTTGACTGCTCCAACATGGCGGACGCGCAGACGTATCGCCTCAGATAGAGATCAACAGACAACGCGGCATCTAGGTATATATATATATATCTATGCCTCACCACCTGGCTCCTGTATTCTGGTTGCTAAGTTCTGTCCCCAACACCAGCCTCACTCAAGGTGAGGGGAAAGCTGCAAACCTTAGCAGTCCGAGCCTGTACCTCGGTGCTCGGATGTGGTCAAATGGGAAGTCATTGACAACAGCCCATAGAAAAAAAAGAGTTTTGAAGTTCTGACACTATGAAATACTGTCACTGGTCTGCATACAGAATACAGAACATAATCATATTTGTAATGACAATTAGAAACTTCACCTAATTTTCATGTTCATTTTCTGTTCATGTGAATCCCATTCATGTCTGTTCATGTCATGAAAGTAATATTATTGTTAATGATGTGATTTACCACAATTATTTACACCAAATAATGCAAATAATCATAATTATTTTTTTAATCATTTGACAGCCCTAATATTTAAATATATTCAGTGCGTTTTTTATATTTATTTCTGAACCTCACCAAAATAACCAAAATAAATCTAAAAATTTTGAAATTTGAGACCATGATTCATTCAGACATTTGCAAAAAATAATAATCAAATCAATTCGTTGTGAGGTCAGAGATTTACACCCCTTCGTCTACACAAACCGTATCTTCGCTGTAATTGTCAGACTCAGTTTTCTTGAAAACAGATGGCTGCTATGTTTTTGCAGGTGTTTCTGTGTTTCTATGTGTGCATGTCGATGTTCGTTTGATGATGGTGTGTGTGTGTGTGTGTGTGTGTGTGCACCTGCCAAAAATAGCTCAGGTTGACAGCCAAGCTCACAGCGCATTGGACAAAAGAGAACAGTCTGTGCTATATATAAACCACACGCCTAAATCAGCCCTCACACACATACACACACACATATTCTCTCCTGCCTGTTCCTGCAACATTTATACGTGTTCATTTGAGCAGAGCAGCTCACAGTACAGGATCTTATTCTCCTCTCGGAGACGCTGCCCTGTGGACTTCTCTCCCATTGATCCGGTGATTCAACTAAAAGGACCTAAACACAACATCCAGTCACACACACTGAAAGCTGAATCATGAGGGCAGCCATCGTCATGCTGAGCAATGACGATGCTGGGTAATCAAGATAAGAAATGTTACTCTATAAGCTTCATCCATTGAAGTGCTGTTGACTCAGTCACTTGGCTTACAGCGAGGGTCATTAATGAATGTATGTGATGGAGCTGGTGGACACTGTAGGTCAGAAGCTGTATTATGCAGGGGGCATCTAGTGTGACACATAGTGAGCGTTTTTACTCTAACTGTGAACGCTTCTTGTCCCTTCTTTAACTGACTGATGACAACAATTTAATGGATTTTAAGGTCATCTGAATTTATTGGTATCGGTAAAAATGCTGCAGATAAATTATATAAATGCTTTTTTATGTTTATAAGTGTTTTGTTTGATTGCAACAAACAGACAGTTCCAACAAAAGGAACATTACGTAGTTGTGAGGATGTCAATAGTTTCATGCAGTCTTGCCAGTATCCAGTGGCTCGCCTCACCTTAAAACTATGAAAGTCTGTATGATTTTTTTTACAAAATTACCAAACATTTTGTGGCTTATCAGAATTTTTAGCTACTCTGTTTTATATCGGTAGGACCCTATTCTACCAGAGATACAGAGAAGAAGATGAAAGAAATGGAGATTTAAAAAGAGGAAAGATACTGCTGAATAGGCCTATCACAGCTATTACATACGCGCTTGATCAACATTTCTTCACAATCACATTTACATTACAACAGACAGAACTTTCGCATTTTTATTCATTAGATTGAGGCAAATGCATGGACATCGTTTTGCTTTAAAACGGGCTGGATACAAAGGTGCGGCAGGGAAAAAATGGCTAGGCCCCTTGGTTACTGTTGCTACATCTGACTTTAGAATCAACTGCTGAGTTTCCAGTAGCAAAAGTTGTCAGTTTATCCGGTCAGATACTTAGTAATTTGTGGATTAATACATCAAAATCACAGTCAAAAAGAGAGAAGCATTTCATCAAGTAGCGATCCAGGAATGTATTTTAAGGAAAACATTAAGCGTCTATGCCATATTGGGTCTTGTTAAATACTTCCAGTTTTTTGCTAAACTAGCATGCAAACTCTACTCCGTTTGTGTGCTATGCTGTTTACATTAAACATTTAATGTTTTGCCATGTTAACCTTCCTGTTATCTTAAAATGTACTAATATCTTTTATTCTTTAAGTCGATTTGACCCCAGCAATTTAAACCTCAGGACACAACAGAACTGTTCTTTTTATAGCTAGTGTACTATGTAGCCTCCAAACATCCTTATGAATTATCTTAGTGACAGTTTTAAAAAGTTTTCTGTCGCATGTTATTATGTGAAATATTTTAAACAGACTACAGACTTTCAAAATTGAATTTAGGACAAAATAGGGCATTTCAAAATGTGATAGGGATGTGTTCCCAGCATAAATTACGCTTAAGGAAAAATGCATAAAAGAAATAAAAGAAAGCACAAAAAGCATTTATTGAGACGTTATGGTTCTTGCAAAAGCTTATTTACTTGTTTATTTAAGCTCAGGCTGTCACCAGATGGAAGTTTCTAAGTATTGACAGCTAGGAAGAACAATAGCTAATCAGCCAGTCACATAAAATTTAATAATTGTGACAAGATATAAGACAGAGGTAAAGGTAGAGAGAGAAAATTTCCACCTGTTATTTTGAGGGGAGATTATTGACATTGTTGGCTGATGCTGAAGGCGCACAATGTTTGCCAACCTTATTGTATGTTATTGGAAGTCTTATTATATGATTGTGTGATGAAGATGAAGATAAAGCCGGAGCTAACTTAAATGCAGCGCAAAAACTTGCAGAAGCCACAAAACATGGAACGTTTTCCTCAAGGGCTGACTTGCCCTTTAGTTGCCATGGTTACTCTTCTGTCAATGTCTCCAGAGAGAGGCAAGAGCTGTCAAACACAATAAGCCTTAGACACACACATGCATGCACCAATGCATGTATACACACGTTTACTTCCCAGCGCTTTAAATCAGTGGTCAAAAACTAGCAAATATATGTTGCGTCCAAAAAAAACCCATATACTGGAGATAATGGGTAGTAGTTTAAAGGAGCACTCCATGGAAAATCTATAATTTATCATGTGATTCCTCCCAGTGAAATCAATTTCGACCACTTCACAGCAAAAATCACATACTAAATAATGGATTTTGAGTGAAATTATTTTATTTTACAGCTTACAAGCTGTACTGAATTCTGAGTGATTATTTCCAGGGATACTATTTGTAGTGTAGTTAAATTTTCCTGCTAATATTTATCATCCTTCATCGGTTTTATCTGATACCAAGAAAAGAGTTGTAAAATAAGCAGTGTAAAATAAATCCTCTCCATCTTTGCTGGCCTAACAGCATGTTGCTTTAGCACTATCAGCCACCATTTAAGGCTTCTATAACTAACTAGACTAACTGTAGCTGTTTTTCAACTATTTTCTTTTTTTCAAATTCTGCATGTTTGGTATCTATGAAAAATGTTGTCTGTTATAAGTCTGATATGCTGATGAAACAGTGGATGTGTGTCCCTGCAGGTTCTGATTTCCTGTGTAACACCCACATCATCCCAGTGAAGAACGAGGAGGGTGTGGTCATAATGTTCATACTGAGCTTCGACTACATCCTGGAAGAGGGCAGCATGGACTCACTAGAGCACCTCAACCACACGTCACCGTCCAAACCCCACCACAGTGAGATCTTCTCTTCTCTTCTCTTCTCTTCTCTTCTCTTATCTTCTCTTCGTCTGTATTGTCTTCTCTTCTGTTCTCTTCTCTTTTCTTCTCTTCTCTTTCCGTATTTTCTCTCCTCTTTCTCTGATCCTCTGTTCTGTCTGCTCTGTTTCTCTTTTAATCTTCTGTTCTTTCCTTCTTTTCTCTCTCTTTTTTTTCTCTGCTTTTATTTCTGTTCTCTTTCATTCTCTTTTATTCTTGTCTCTTCTCTTTTTGTCTCTTCTCTCATTCTGTTTCCTGTTATCTGCTTTTCTTTTCTGTGTTCTCTTGTTCTCTTCTCTTCTTTTGTCTTCTTTCCTTATTTTCTCTTCTCTTTCTCTGATCTTCTACTCTGTCTGTTCTATTTCTCTTTTATTATTTTGTATTCTTTCCTTCTGTTCTCTCTCTTCTTTTTTCTCTGCTTTTACTTCTGTTCTTTCTTTCTCTTCTCTTCTCTTCTCTTCTCTTCTCTTCTCTTATGTTCTTTCTTTCTCTTCTCCTCTCTTCTCTACTTTCATATTCTGTTTTCTGTTATCTGCTTTTCTTTCCCATGTTCTCTTGTTGTCTTTTCTGTCCTCTTCTTTCTTAAATACTCTGCTTTTCTCCTTTCTTCTATTCTCTACTTTCCTGTTCTCTTCTCTTCTCTTCTCTTCTCTTCTCTTCTCTAAAACTCATTGCACAATATTACATATAGGAAGGAAACACTTTTAATCTTGCTTCAGCCGCCTCCCCCGTTTTTCTGCCCCTCCCTCCTCCTTCCAAGTTATTAAGATTTCCAGAAAGTGCTTGTTTTAATTGCTGCCTGGAGAGGGGGGTGGGGTGCTTACAGTAGGAGGAGAAGGAAAGGGGGAGAAGAGCAGAGTAGAGAAGAGGCAGCAACAAGGAGTGGCGGGGAGAGAGTGAGATGGAGAGAAAGAAACAGATGGAAAGGAGGAGAGAGAGAGAAAGAAATGTGGCATTATTTGCTCTAGTTGCTACAACTCCATTCTGACCTCAGTTCACTAGCATGCACTGTCTGGCTTACTCAGCCATTCAGGAGGTGAAGTGGGGGGAAAGATTCTACTTGACACAGTGCGACAGTTATTAGGGTCCTTGGGGCCAGATACTGTGCAACACTTCATTTAGGTGTCTTATCTAAAATAACTGAGCTCCCTCGGACTCAACCATGTGGCACAAACAGACTGTGCATAATTCAGTGTGTGTGTGTACAGTAGTCTGACTCTTCATTAGAAAGTCATATTTCACAGATATGAAATCCAATTAATAGTCCATGCAAATATGTCTGCTGGTATCATAGCAACAGAGAGTGTTTTGAAATTGTGTGTGTGTGTGTGTGTATATGTGTGTGTGTGTGTGTGAGAGAGAGTGGGACTGTTCAGCAAGAGCCATTACATAGCAAATAGTTTGCACTGCCAGAATAGTGATTGTGATAGAAATGTGATATTCAGCAATGGAGAAATGAGTCCATCAGGGACTGAGACAGATTTGTCCTTTTTTCACTCACACTCTCTCTCTCTCTTTATATCTTTCTCACTCTCTCTATTGCTCTCTCTTCCAAGCCTCAGGCTAGAGACCATAGGCAAAGGGAGGCTGAAGCTTTGAACCAGAAACATTCAAGGATCATTCTTAGATAGCAGAATTCAAATATCTACACTTCAATTCCCTACTGTGGTTTCATACACTGTCCGTGATGCATTGCTCTGCATTATGATGAAAAAATTAAAGGAAGATCCCCCAAAAACAGAAGCATGTCCAGTGGGAGGTAGAGGGTTTGTTTTTGATCGAGTCAGGGTATAAATAGCCCGGTTTGGCCAATGATTTAATTAATGCTGGCGTGGAGCTTAAGCACCAGGGGGACAGAGCAGTGATGAGAGAGAGAATAAGTGAGAGAGAGAGATGGAAGGAGGAAGAGAGAGACAAACAGAGATCAGAGCATGAAAGGAAGCAGAAATGCTTCTGAAGAAGTCTAAAATAAGAGTGTTTGGCTTTTAGGAACAGATTTAAATACCACTTTCAAGACATGCCTTTTGTTCTCAGTAGTATTTGTCATGAAGCATTTAAAAAGGACAGATTAACTCTTGTGTGAGGGATTTGGAAAGAGCACAATATCCTAAAAAAAAAAAAAAGTCATGAGGCATTGAAATGTGAAAGGAACTTGGTGATGGATCTGTATCTGCTCTTGGAAAGCTAAAAAAATCACAAAATGAAATGTGTGAAGGGTCTTACAGCAGTAGTTTGAGAAAAAGTCAAACACATTTGTTGATGTGAATTCTAAAACTGTATGACATACTTTAATAAGAAATGTCATATAGCTGAAGACAGTAGTAGTAGCTTTCTTGAAGCTTGAATTTTGTCCGTACCTTTGTCTTTGTTACAGATTACAGTATGACATACAATCTTAGAAACTACATAAACAAGTCTATTTGAGATTACTTGATATAGTTTGATGCAAGCGTGGATGATGAAAGTGTGGGATGATAACAGGTAGAGTGTAAACATTTATTATTATTTTTTGATGTAAATATAGCTTTTTTTAACTCTAGTCCAAAACTAATACACCAAACATGTCTGAGTTTGTTTTTAACTATTGCATTAACCTATTTCTGCAGCCCCCTAGTGGAAATCGACTTAGATATTTTTAACTAGTCACTACAATAATCAAATAAAACATTTTTTCCTGGAGCTCTGTTATCATATTCACTAGGGACCTAACTGGGCTCTCTGTATGTGAAAAGTTGTGTTAAGCTGCTAGCGAGCAATGAGAAGTGAGAGTATGTGTGAGAATCCCCTGCTGTAATGGGACAACAGTCTTCATTTAAAAAACTTGTACATCTGCCTTAATAAAAAGTACCATTTAAACACAAGAAAAACACTTTTATAAATGTTGACTTTTTTGCTCACTTATGAAGAGAAAAATCCAGTTTTGTAGATCATAAACATTCCATTATACAAACGTATTCCATCAACATTATTAAAGAAAATGAATGCATAGTTCAACTGAGGAACCTCTAAAACCGGCAGAAATTGTGTTTTTTGGCTACTGGGAAAAAAGGATTAAACAAATAGAACATACAAAATGAATAACACGGTCTTAGCCTTGTATGTCTATGTTCAAGCTAGAGCTTGCATAAACAACTAGTAAACAAACTTCTTATAAATTGAATTAAAAGGTTTCTGCATTTGTGGTGGACATATTACACATTAAACTTAACAATGTAATGACTTTGCATAAGGAATCATTCCAGTATGTATTTACAGGCTTATATATCAGGGCCTGGTAAAGAGATTAAGATTGGAGACCGGACACAATAACTCAGGAAACAACTATAGCACTAAACTACAACAATAGAAGGACAAAAACCATGCTTACTGAACTACACCAGTAGGAGTGTCTGAGGTGCCATTTTTAGATGCAGTACACAATCCACCATGTTTTTTTCCTCACCCAGATGATTCTCCAACACTAATCAAGGACCTGATTGAAGTCTCACTGGGCTGTAGATGATTTGGCTCATATCGCTCCACTGTTGATGGGAGAGCACAGATAATGAGATGAGTCTAGAGACCTGGGGACGTCCTGGAGAGAGAGAGAGAGAGAGAGAGAGAGAAATAGAGAAAGAGGAAGAGACAGTATGGAAGAGGGAGGGGGTTCATTTTGACTTTGATGAGAGAGACAAGAGACAGAACGCTTCGTTTTGGATTTGTCTACTCTTGTCTCCTTTCTGCATCTTATTGATGCTGACGCCCCAGTTTTTTCCCCCATCAAAGATATTTCTGTCTGACATCTGAGCACGTCCTGTTAAAAATTCATCCTGTCCTAACACTGCATTGCTGCAGAGATTTACTGCAGTCTACCCAAACATCGGCGCCTCTGTGGCAGCTCCTGTCAGTCAGACTTAATCCACAACCCTCACTTTCATATATGTCAATTATAAGTAAATAATAAGAAGAGTAGTCAGGGATTTAGCGTAATGATTTATTTAAATGTTTTTTGGATGACTTTGGTTGTTGTGAGTGTGAGTATACAGAGTGTACAAAAAATTGTATAATTACACAATGTGTCTGAATGAACACATTAACGTATTGGTAAAATGGCAGGAGGTCACTCAGACAGGTAAGCAGAGCAGCAGTCCAATAGAAAATAATGAAATGTAACTGATTTTAGAGTGTAGAACTAGTGTACATCAATCATCAAATACACAGTATTGTGCAAAAGTCAATGACCACCCTTCATTTATTTAATTTTCCAGTCAGAGTTACCATTAAATTCCTATTAAAATATATTCATTTCAACAGATATTTCTGAGAATATTAAATATAAGATAATCCACTTGCATAAGAAAGGAGAAAATCAAAGGAAAACAAGTGAATAAACATAAGTTTCCAAAGTCCCATATTTTTTTAATGTGAGTTCAAAAAAAAAATGTATGCACCGAAATGAAAACTCCTGTTTGAAAACAAACCTTAACTGCGACACACCTGGCCGAAAACCAAAACCAAAAGATGTTTTTTTTTTTTATTTGCTGTTTTATTAATGCTATTTTTAGGCAAAATGCTCGTGCACACCTAAAAAAATTATTACAAGATATTGAGAAAATGGGATTCTTAATAACCACCCAAAAGTCCACAGGTGTTTCTGTCCATCCTTCCACCGTGAGAAGACAACTCAATGGCTGTGTAGCTGTCAAGAAACTGTTACTGAGAAAAGGAAATTGGAAACAGAAGAACATTTGCACTAGAACACTGAAACTGAACATCTGAGATGTAGAGTAAGTTCTTAGGGACTGATGAATCTTAATAGTAATTAGGATTACTTGGATAATGAGCAGCAGAAAATGCAACCAATTTTAGAGACTGAACTTTGTCTGACTGAAAGTTTGGAAAAAGATCCCTGCAGATTTCTTTAAGCAAAGTGTGGACACATTAAGTACTTAAAAGATTTGATATTTAGTTATTGAGGCTTTTGTGTAGTTTTCTGTCAAATATATGTTTTCAGCTTTTTTTTGCGTGACGCTGGCAAATTGATGATTTTTGCTTACTGGTTCTTTTGACTGGAGTAAATATATAAAGGGTGGTCTAGTTGTGGTAAAAATATTTGATCTCACAGTGATACATTTATAAGGAAATTATTCAGTGCATCATGAAATCTCAGATTTCTCCATAAATTAGGTTTGTTTTAATTGTTTTCATACAATTTAGGATTATTAAAAAATGACAACACACAAATATGAGTGTAGGAACTATTTACAAAGTGGTGGTATTCGCATGTTAAAAAGTTGACTGAAAATTTTGTTGTCATAAAGAGGGTGAAAACTTTATTGAATATTAAAATAAATGTTTCTGAATTTTAATGTTCAAAAATAGAGGCAGCTAAATTTTCATCTTCAATCTGATGCATTGCTGCATTTTTAGAATAATCAAGAAATAATAACTGATTTTGCAGTGTATGACTACCATACAGTAATTATGATGTATAAATGTATAACACTGTTCCCACACATCCTCTCTCTTTCTTTCCCTCTCATTCTCTCTCTCATTTTCTCGCACCAGGAAAAGGCCGTTTTTTCCGTTTTCGCTTTCCTATGCCATTAAGCATGCTGGGAGTGAGTAAGCAGTCTCTCCCTCAAGAAGACCCGGATGAGGTGACCGTCCACTCACCCGAGCGGATCGAGCCACGTTCCTCCTGTTCCTCCTCCCTCTCTCTTTCTCTCTCCCCACATGAGCTCCGCCCCCCAACTGCTGACAGCTGCAGCGCCTCCTATGCCAACGACACCAGGGCTCTGATTGGCCAGAGCCTGCTGGGCTCATCTTCACCTGTTTCGGGACCCCAGGACCACTCTTCTCCACGAGGGCCTTGGGAAAGGCCGGCCCCCCATGGCTCTGTGGGCACCCGCTCCGCCTCTGGAGGGCAGTCCCGTGGGAGTGTGTGCACACTGCGCAGAGCGTCGTCCACCCACGACCTCGAGGGCTTCAGTGCACACGTGGAAAGGGCGTATCGGGACCGGCACGCTAGCGAAGGTACACGCAACCATAGTGGACGAGCAAGTGATACTGAATGTAGAAGCAGAATCAAACACACACATACATGCAAAGAAGTGCATAATATGTTTTAATGTCATAATTATAGTGCACTGTATACATCTCTCACTGTTCTAACACTTTCTTCTTGTTTGCCTACCTGTCAATCTCCCTGCTGAGGCCTTTAATGCACATCAGTCTCTCTAATCTTGGGTGATACAGCCCAAAATCTTATCACGATATATTTTTCTTATCATAATTATTTTAGTGTCCGAATTCTCTTTACTGCAACACTGTAAAGGTTTGAAAGTAAATCTGTAAATATTTTTGGGCTGTAATTTATCACAATCTCTATACTTTTGTCAGACTAAGCTGCTTATTAAAAAGTCCACAAACCTTTTTGCTGTACCACATAGAGCTCTAAATTCATCTACTAAATCCTATGAGTACTTTTAACTGTGTGATGCTTATGACACTCAAATATTTTATTATTTAATGTTTTGAGATAGTTTTGTAAGAATGATCCATATACATATATCCTGCATGTGCACAAATTGCTCAGACTACTTTAAGAACCCATACAATAAGGCCTGGGCAAAAAGTGATTAAACTTATTATAACATTTTTAGGTTAATAAAGTTTGAGGTATTTTGATAAAATCCTTATGCCCTTCTTTTCCTCAATCCAGTATTAGCAGCAAAGGTTTATACTTAGAAAAGCTGCTGTTTCAATGCCTTGTGCAGGATGTGTGCCTTTTAATCAAATAGATAGAGAGGGAGAAGAACTCTAGCCATTCACTCACAGCAGCAAAAATTAAATTAAAATTGAGCATACAGGCATGCAGTGATTATTGATATTTAGCAGTATTGAATGAAATTGAAAAATAAACATTGTGAAAAGATTTTTTATAATCCAGTTTAAAATAGATAAATTAATTACACTGAAGTAGAACAAAGCAATCATAAATCTTCTAGACATAAATATATATATACACCTATCCATGCACGCATGTATGCACAGACACAAGCGCACTTTCCTAACTGAACCCTCAAAAGACCTCATCACCATCACACAGCCATGCTACTCTGTCTTCACTTTTTACTGTCCCTTCCTTCCTCCTCTCTCTTTCTGTCTTTCCTACACCGTTCTTCCGCTGTCTCAGACAATGGTCGTAACATTAAAGGTACCCAAAGCAACTCTGTGGTAACAAGCACGTGCCTGCCTGCCTGCTGGAAGCATGCCAAGGCAAATAACGAATGCTGGTTATGAAAAGTGATGCACTGCTGGAATAAGCGGAATGCTGTTATTTAAGACCACCTATTGCTCACAGCATCATAGAAAGCACGTGACATATCTGCCTGGATACGAGCGAGTGTGCATGTGTGTGTGTGTGTGTGTGTGAGGAAGCGAGAGAGAGAGAGAGAAAGACTATTCTCATGTGTGTCAGACTGTACTGAAAAAGTGATGCATGTAGTTTACTTAATTTAAATGTGTACATCATTTCAACATGAATAAAATATATTACACCAACACTACAGATGGCACTGATCTGATATCAGGTATCAGCATAAGGCCAATATTAACTAAAAATAATGGATTGAATATCAGAAATGAAAAAGAATTAATTAGTTCGATCCTGAAACAAATCTAGCCTGAAATACCACAAACTTGCATTGTGTGATGTGGTGTTGTTAACTGTGCATTTCTTCTGTGGAGTAGTAGAGTGTTTTAGTAGTTTGAGCATGATACTCTACTTTTACATACTCATCTTATGTGAAGTGCTTCAAATAAAAATAGCTAATTTTAAAAGCTTAGTAGTTTTTAAAGAAGAAAAATCAAGCCATTATCAGTCAAGATAAAAACCTTTATAATCAACACATACATACATACATACATACATACATACATACATCATCTAAACCGCTTATCCTTCTGGGTCGCGGTGGGGTGCTGGAGCCTATCCCAGCTGTCATTGGGCAATCCATCGCAGGGCATAATCAACACAGTTAGTGCCAAAAGTAAGTAAACTGAAAGGTAGAATTATGCTGGTGTAATATATTTGATTTATGAGGAAAGTATGTACACATTTGAAGCAGATAAATGCAGTGCATTATTTTGTTCCATGTGTGAATGCTTTCATGGGTCGGTTTATAAGAGTGTGTAATGTTTTGTATGTGTGTGTAAGACATAGGTGAATTTGCATGTTCAATACATTACGTGCAAACCACTGGCCATTCTTTCATTTTGTAATTGCTGACATCTGAATGAGCTTTTGCAGCTGCATCTTTCTTTTCCCTCTGGATTTATGTTAGACTTTCTCCTCCTGAACATGAACAGACGCCAACCGTTCTAGAAGCTCCCTGGCAGCTTTGTAGGGCCTGGTTGTGCATTTCATACTTCAGTACAACCATAGTCTCTCATTTCAGGTGATTGTGGTGATTTAACAACCTGCCTTGTTGAGGTTCAGAGTGAACCTCTGCAGTTGGTGTAATTCTCTCTGTCGTGTTTTAAGGCCAAAATGCTAGACTGATCTGTCCCAAGCTGAACTACTCTTTAATTCCCTCCCCCTTTCTCTTTCGCTGTTTCTAATTGGCTAGTATCACGCTCTTGGATGGCTGGGGGTATGGCTTGAGCTTTTTCCTATTTGTCAGTGTTTTAGCATGCCTCTTTTGTCTGTCATTTTTGTTGTCTTTGTTCTTTCAAATCCTGTTTTCACCGTCAAAAGAGTAAGACTGCATTGTGCAGGTGTCTTTCGTTCACATTGGTGCTGTGTTTCGGTTTCTAAAATGTGGGCTGGAACTTTGAACTTCTGAGAATTGTTGCGCCATTCTTAGTGGACTACATTAAGAAAGCATGAGCTGAAACCCAGTGTGTGTGTGTGTTTATGTGTGCTCCTCCAGGGCCGTTTAACCAGATCAAGTGCAGTCTTCTGGGCTCCACGTCTGACTCGAACCTCACAAAATACAGCACCATCAACAAGATCCCTCTCATCACGCTGAATTTCTCCGAGACTAACAATGAAAAACGCCCCCCATCTCCCTCCTCCTCAGAGAAAACCATCATCGCACCAAAGGTCAAGGATCGCACGCACAATGTAACCGAGAAGGTCACACAGGTGAGAGGTCAAGCCTGCTAACCCCCTGTCCATTTTTGTCACAGTACATAAAATAATCTGTAAGTAACATAAAATATGTTCACTCTGTGTTGTGTAGTTAAATTTTTAGTAGAGGTGTCAAAGTTAATGAGTGAGTATTTAGGAAAATGCATTAACAGCATTAAAATTTTAGAGGTATTTAACACAATAAATGGCACAATAAATTGAAGCCCAGCTGCTAGCACATTTTATTTTGCTATGACTGTCTCTGCAGTTGTAGTCCTCTCACTGACATACAGCTTTTAAATAGAACGTTCCATTGATGGCTTTATTGATATAATTTACAAGCAAAGCACACAACAGTGGCAAACTACTGTGCCAACGTTCAGCCTTCACTGTCCCCTAAAATTCAATCCACAGTGTTCTCTAACAGTTTGCATACTGTAGGCCAGGGGTTCCACCTCAAGGCCCCCGTATTCATCACTACAAAGCATGAAGGCCCACAGGAAACAAAACTGAATTTTTAAATGTTTATTTTTTTAGAAATTTTCAACAAAGTGCCTGCCTCGCAAATTTCCAACATGTATCAGTGAACGTAAAATATCAACAGGATGGTGATATTTTTGAAGTGAACAGCTGAGATGTTGGGCCATTGCGAGGCATGTACACCTCCCTCAGCTATGAAAGACAGTGAGGGAGGCTGTGGGCAGTTATGCCAGCATTACCTGTAATATCAGTAATGTTAGCACTTGAGGATACCTTGAGGAGACATCCCTATGCAGTATTCATGGGAGAACTATGGATAAACCAAAAAGCAGCAAACTAAAAAAGGGAACAGCAAAGTGGAAAGCTCCAGTTTCCCTCAAAACAAGACATAACATAGTAGGAGAGCTGCCATCTTGGAGGAGTTGGAATGTGCAGCCACTGCTGCTCACACTGGATGTTGATGATGAAAATCCGGAACTGTGCTCGCACTATTTTCATGTTCACCCTGCATTCACTTGATTTTCATGTTCAGTTTATGTGAATCCTGCCTTAATAACGTTACAGAATTATTGAAAGTAATAAATGCATTCTGAGGAAGATTAGTTTATCTTATATAATATATAACACTCTATAACACTTTCTTTATGGTCGAATTTGATCAAACATGACGAATGCAATTAATTGTTTTGTTTGACAGCCTAACTTTAAGCATTGATAGTGTGAACAATATAAAAATGATTAAAGAGAAATTAACCAGGTTGTGAAGGGTAAGCCATTAATATCCCTACATACCGTTCAGCCTCCGCTGACCCCTAAAATTCAAATCACAGTGTTCTGTAATGGCTTGCATACTGTAGGCTATGTATACACTCTCAACCTGCAAAATGAGCTCCATTACCCACGAACCCCTCCTCCAACTATGAGAGACATTGAGGGAAGCTGTGGGCAGTTAATAATAGACAGTCAAGGCACTGTCAGCATTTATTCAGTGGATGCTGCTAAATCTACACATTGCTGACATGTCTTCAGGTTAACAGAGTCGAGAGCAATAAATAAACCGTTAGACACACACGCACACACACACACACACATACACACCTTCCATCTCTCTTCCAATCGCCCACCCACCCATATTTTCTACTGTATTTGTTTGTTTGCCACAGTAGTAGTGTTGCCTGTAACTAAGCAGATGGCATTTATCACACACAGATGGCTGATTTTATCTCTTCAACTCTTAGTGTTTTTATCAAAGTTAAAGAGTTGGACAGTCATTAAAATGCGCCTTGGCATCTAAACCAATGGTGGCTGCCTACACACCCAACCTTTGTGCTTAACATGATTTTCTTTCTCTTTTTCATGAAACACTTAGAGTGTCCATGAATAATATCAATGATATTAATAAAATGAAGGGTTAATACCAGGTATGTATTATTCGTTGGCTGCCATAATAAAAGCATTTTATAAATTAGTGCTACTTCTCATTCATCACTCATTAGAACAGAAAGAAGATTATGATTTGAATTTAATGTTTTAGATCTTGTTACGTTTTTACCATTTAACATCTAAACAAACAGAAGGAAGTCCTAAGCGCAGGGGCCAAATTCAGCAAAGCTTTCCTAAAAAAAAAATTATGAAGGATTTTAAGACAAATACTAAGAATTTGATAAGAATGTTCTTAAATGCAATTCTTGAGGGAAAAAAGTAAATTGAATGTAATTAATTGCAGATCTCACTAAGTAATTAAATATGTAATTGATAGGGATATACATGGGTACTCAAGTACTCGGTTAACTTCTCACATTTTATCACAGGAAGATGTAGACAGGAGAAAATATACATACTAACAGTTCAGTGAAATTTTGTGTTGTAACTGGACTATAAGATGTGGTGAGTTTACTCATGTTATTTACACTTTGCTATTCCGCTTTGCTATGCATTCAGTGTGTTAACAAGAATGCGTTGTTGAGGATGCTACTGAGAAGGCAGAGATAGCACAAACGGTGCTGGTGTGGCTGGTGTATCACTAACTAGGCTAGCTACTCTAGCTGATGTTAGCTAGGTCCAGAAACAGTGAAAACATAGTTCTTGGACAAACTGACATGTTGCCTCATCATCCACTGAGGAGAATTTAGCATCTATAGGAAGACAAAGACTCTATCAGGATCGAGCATTGCACAGGTTAGCTCTGTTAGCTCATTTGTTTATTTGAAAAGGCAGCCTCTGTTACTCGTCTGAGATTAAAATTCAAGTACGTACCTCTATGTGCTGCTACATTTTTCTGCAACATCAGTGCTGCCACCTAAAAAGTAAGCCGACAGTCCTACATTTAACCCGTTGGGGTTTAAGGTTTTAAGATTTTTACATATCTTGCATATATTTTGTTCTTAAATTTGCCATCAAAGCTGCTTGCATGTAAAATGATATAAAACCATGTGTTTCATATCAAAATGCTCTGTTATCTTGTTGCTGTTGCTGCTTTCCAAAACCGCTGCAACTTAGGCAGTTGTAAACTTTATGTGTCATTTCACGTGTCTCAGATGCTGACTAAATTGAGAATGAAGGGTTTCCGGTGTGATGGTTAAGTCCCTAGTGATTTCCTGAGTGTCCATTGGTTAGTTTCACACAAAATGTAAACGGGCACACAGATCCACCACTTGCACACGATGAGAGGCAGATGACGTATTCGTCAGCCCGTCTTCATAGCGTCATAACTCCGGATGTGAGTCACATACAAACTTGCGATAAGATGGAATTGAAAGGTTACAAACAACTAACCTCAAGTCTTTATTCTTTTTAGTTCCTGTTATAAGTGCTGCATTGCAATTGCTGACTATAATTTTAATAGAGAGTTGCTGTCTGTTTTATTTACCTCTCTATTTTTACGTCACATTTTACTGACTGCCTTTCTGTAGTTTGTTGATAAAAATGTGGAGCTGCAGACTGCAGTCCATCTCTGTCAGAACAAGGTCTTTCCCAAAAAAGTGTTCCAGTTGTCAATAAAACCCAAGTTATTGTCCTCAGTCCACCTGTTCAGCTACTCGTATAGAGTATAATGCTTGTGAAAAATCTCCTTTCCTCTTCTAAATGTTGGCAGAGGGCCAGAAACTACAACTCTGGCGGTTGTTTGTTTGTTGTTTGGCCATTTTACAACAGTGCTGTAAAACGTCTTTTAAAACTGCACTCTTTCTATCTTGTGTGTTGATTACTCCTGCCTGCTCAATGACAGTACCAATATCCTTATGCTTATTGAAAACTGTGGGCAGTGCAATATCCATGACTCAAGCACCAGGGAGGCATAAAACAGACGCTTTACCTTTAGCTGGAGCCAAGTTCACGTTCTGCATGACCGAGTCACCAATTACTGAAACATTGGTCAAGGGAGGAGCAGGGCATAAGAGAGAGCCTAGTACTTTGAATCTGTTGCTGACGGTGATGAGAGTCCATGGCGTGAGTTTCATAGGTCTGGCCTGGTTCAGGTGACTTCTGCTCGGCATGGAAGCTGCCCAGGCGCCAGTGGCCCCATTGCCTAGCACTCCGTGTTATCCATGACCTTCCACAAGTTTGAGAAAACTGGCTGTTCCATCACAGGAGGACTTGCTGGTCTCAAGGCGAGTTTTCCGAGCATGGAGTTGAGTCTGATGTTCCAGCAGTGCCTTAATCTTAGCCTCCAACAATTCCAGATCTTAACTGAGCATCTTGATTTCCGAGTCCTCCTCGCATAGTATTTTACAAAAAAAAAGATAGAGAAGCATGTGTAGAAACGTTGAATTTGACCTGCAGGCAAGTTTGTGGACCCCAGAGGGTTAATGTTGGCTGAAATCTGTTCCCCCCACAGATTATCCATTCATTATATCTTACACACTCAAATTTTACAATTAATCAGAATGTACATCCATAGTAATTATGTAATTGTATTTAAATTAATATAGCAAAAAGGGAAGTTATATGTAAACCACACAGCTACTTTGGTTTGTATGTGAATTCATCTTGCCTTCATCTACCTCTCGCAAAAAACGTTCAGTAGTGAACAGGTAAAAGGGAGCTTTAAAATATGCTCATCGAGCACTTTATTAGGAACACCTCCTTATATCTACACTCACTGTCCATTTTATCAACTCCACTTTCTATACAGGAGCACTCTGTAGTTCTGCAATTTCAAACAGTAGTCTATCTGTTAGCCCCCTTTCATCCTATTCTTCAATGGTCAGGACCCCCACAGGACCACCACAGAGCAGGTATTATTTGGGTGGTGGTTCATTCTAAGCACTGCAGTGACACTGATGTGGTGGTGGTGGCGTGTTGGTGTGTGTTGCATGGTCTGAGAAAGAACAGACACAGCAGTGCTGCTAGAGTTTTAAACACCATTTCCACTTACTGCCCACTGTATTAGACACATCTACCTTGTTGGTCCACCTTGTAGAGATGAAGTCAGATATGAAAGCTCATCTGTTGCTGCACAGTTTGTGTTGGTCATCCTCTAGTCCTTCATCAGGGGTCGCAGGATGCTGCACGCAGGACGCTGTTGGCTGGATATTTTTGGTTGGTGGACGATTACCACATACAAACTGAGTGACAATGAAGATCTGAAAAACATACTCACACACATGCATATGTGCCACAGATTCAAAGTGGGCTTTCAATTATTTTGAAAGAGAGGGCTCAATTACGGCATACAATTTGTGATTAATTATTAAATCAGAATAATTTATTTATCCACATCATGAAGAACATCACGCCGCACAAATACACACAGTGTGCCCTTTCAGACACACTCTCCTCAAAAAAGCTGTTTCTTAAGTGATAAAAAGACATAGACCCTATTTATTCACGATTGTTTCTATTCTGGTAACAAAGCGGTTTATCATAACAGCGGACGTTTTATCAGAAAAGGCTGAGATTTCTGATCATATCAGACACTAGCAATGAAAGAGCCTTTGATCAGGTTGGGAATGGAAGGCGGTCAGACTCGTGATAGGTCATGTGCATAATTAGATGACGCGCCCACTCATTTTTACTTCCTCCTTCGCTGTGCTTCATCAGAGGGAAGAGTCTATTTAAAGTACAACCTTTGACCTCTTTACTGCTAAAGCCTGCAGATTATTCCAAGAGAGGCACACAGAGAGAAGGAGGGATGAGAGGACAATTCTATTCGTGACAGTTTCCTCCTGCTTTCTGTGACAGTAATTGCCATGCCTTCAGAGTCTCTATCTCTCTCTCTCTGTCTTTCTTTCTTTCCATCTCCCTCATCTCTCTCTCTCTCTTTTCCCCCTACTCTCTCTCGCTCTGTAGTTGAGGGGAGAACGGCTATTGTAATTATCTCTGTTACACTGGGACTGTCCTAAAGGATCCCTTCCCACACGCTGTCAAACACTTTAAGTGCCCAAACCATAGCAGCTTTCTATATGCCTTAGCCAAGGTGTTCAGGGAAAATTGGGCTGCGGGACAGAGAGCGTGTTCATACACACAGATAGGTTCGTCACTGCAACCAACGAGTGAAAAAACGGAGAAAGTCATTTGATATTGTTAATCTGTAGATGTTTAGAGTATTACTGCTATTTTGATTTACATTACATAATTTATAGCTCTGTGCAAAAGTCAGAGACCACCGTTCATTTATTTAAAGGTGCAATATATGATTCTGGAGAAAGACTTGATATTTGAACTCAACAACAAAACAAATGCACCCCTCCGTTCAGTACTTCTTCAGAAGCTCTGCCCCCCTCAAAGTCATGGATGCGCATTGCCGAAGTGAATGATACTGGGCTAGCAAACTTGTTTTTGTTTAGATCTTCGTGGCCTTAAAACCCTTCGCAAAGGTTGTACGGACAAATACCATGATATAACGTTAGAGCAAACGTAGCATGTAATGTCACTAACTTTAGTTAGGTTGTCGGTTAGCAGTCTATTGCTACAGTTGTTGCAAAGCTAACCAGTTATTATCATAAACGTTATCAAACAGGACAAAATAATACTGACCTATTGGTTCTGTGAAACAGCAAGAAAAAGTCAATGTCACCCACCTGGCTAGTAGAAATAACCTCCTCATCCCTTTTCATGCCTTTCAACTCTCTTAAAGGTGAAGTCAGCTTCTTTTTCCCCATCCTTTTTTTTTAATTTTCTTGTTCTTAAATGGTGCAGCAGTTACATTCAGGCACCTCAGGTGAAGAGTGGATTTGCAGGACAATTTAAGATGGAACAGGAAAATGCGGAAAAGAGGGCAACTTCAGCTTCGTCAGCTTTGGGGAATATTCGGTGGAGGAATATTTGAAAGGTTGCTTTCACCTTATTGTTTTCGACTGCACTCCGCTATCTTGCATGCTAATGTTGTGTGGGCAGCCACTGTCTTTGTCTCTTGAGGAGGGCATGGGGACATGGGGAGGGCCAACGTTTTCACAGGGCAGGACTAACAAAAAAAATTAAAGCAAAAACAGAGATGCTCGGATTACAACACACGACAGAGGAGTGACTTCGTTTTCTGCTCAGGATGCCATTACTTCGCTAAATATTTACATAGTAAATTGATGCTATTTTAATGTTTAAAATGTTGTATATGGAACTTTTAATTTCCAATCAAATGTAAGTTTCATTAAGTAAGTTTTAATTTTTAAGTGTCAGAATAAAAAGCGAAAAGCATACATTTAACAGCGAAGTACACGAACGCCTCAACAAACGAAATATGTCAAAATGTTCAGTATTTATTGTGTGCACTCTGCCTTTTTTACAGCTTCCATCCTTTCAGGAGACTCACTTTCAGTTTTTCAAAGAAATCTGCAGGGATATTTTTCTGTACAGCACATTCAGTGATGTTGAAGTCTGGGCTCTGGGATGGTCAGTCCATTGTTCTGAGAAGACCAGCAGCTTTTTTTTATTTCCAAGTGTTTTTCTTTTTTGTCTATTCTCTTTTTTCAGTAAGAGCTTCTTGGCAGCTCCACATCCTTTCAGACTCATAGTGCTGAGTTGTCTTCTAAGGTAGAAGGATGGACAGAAACACCTGTGGATGTTTTCAGATCTGAGGCAAGAGTGGAGCTTGATTTTCTCCTCTCTCCCAAAGATGAAAGCATTAAGTACTGTATATCTTATAGTGACAGTTTTGGAGGTCTATCAGGTTGGCGAGAGTTCCAGTTTCATCCTTTGAATAATATTTTGAACTCCAGTTTTGGAAACTCCTGTTTTTTCACCTGTTTTTTCTTTGACTTTCCCCTTGTTTATAAAAGTGGATTATGTTCCCATAAATAGCTCCTGAAAAATCAACTTGTACTTAATAGCCATTTTGGCTGAAAATACTATAATTGTAGGATGGTGTCTGACATTTGCACAGTACTCTATGTAATTACCATTTGATTTATTTCAAGGTTCAAATTTGCAAATTTAATTTTTTTTCCAGTCTCTTATTCTGCTTCATCATGTATGTAAGTTTTTTGAACACATACTCAAGTTTATACAAAAAAATTCAATACAGAGTTTCATATTAGAATGTCTTAAAATAATGTTATGACCTTTTCCCCACAATAGATGACAGGAATGTGGGTCACATTTGAATGTAATTAACATGGCATTTTTCATGCTGTGCCTCATGTACCAGGGACCACATAATTCTTTTCTTCATGTTGCATTTACTTCATTGTTGCCATGGTTGCCATGCTGCTAACGTTGCAGTTGATTGGGCGTTGTGTAGAGGCGTCGCCATGGTTACACTCTCCCTTCTCTCCACCTCAGGTGTTGTCGCTAGGCGCTGATGTGCTTCCAGAATACAAGCTCCAGACGCCACGCATCAACAAGTTCACTATCCTGCACTACAGCCCCTTCAAGGCAGTGTGGGATTGGCTGATCCTGCTGCTGGTCATCTACACAGCCATCTTTACGCCCTACAGTGCCGCTTTTCTGCTCAACGACTTAGAGGAGCAGAAGAGGCGTGAGTGTGGCTACTCCTGCAGCCCACTTAATGTGGTGGACCTGATTGTGGACATCATGTTCATCGTGGACATCCTTATCAACTTCCGCACGACATATGTCAACACCAACGAGGAGGTGGTCAGTCACCCAGCCAAAATCGCAGTGCACTATTTTAAAGGCTGGTTCCTCATAGATATGGTGGCAGCCATTCCCTTTGACCTTCTCATATTCGGATCAGGGTCAGAGGAGGTGAGAAATGTTTGTGTACTTGTGTTAGGTGGAAATTGATAGCAGTTTTCAATTGGACCACCTTTAACCACTACCGTTTTAGAAACTGTCCTTCAAATGCAAATATGCACAGGCATAACGCTGCACTATTTAGTGCCCTCTCTGTTCTGCTTAAATCATCTTAGCTAATTCTAAAACCCATTTTTGTTCAAGAAGAAAAAATACTTCACCCTTAAATGCAAAGATTTGACAACTATTCGTAAATACCTTGCATTGTTAGTGACGCTTAAATCTGATACAAATTTACCAATTTGCCTTGATAGTGTAAAACTGTCAACCCATTTGATTGACAATAATACACACACACACACACACACACACACACACACACACGTTTTCTGAACCGCTTATCCTTCTGGGTCGCGGGGGGTACTGAAGCCTGTCCCAGCTTTCATGGGGCGAAAGGCAGGATATACCCTGGACAGGTGACAATAATACAGTTATAAAATAAAATAAATTAAATTGATTTATACTCATTAGAATTTAGCATTATATTATGTTACTATTATATATTACATGATGTTATTATCTTACGACTCATTAAACTTATTATTTTCAGCTTTTCTGAAAAAGAAAAGTACACAAGGTAGAGGGTCAGAAATGAGTTTACGGATTCAGTATGAAGATTTAAAGAAAGTTATGTTTTGCTCTTCTGTCCTCCCCTACAGACTACAACTCTAATTGGTCTGCTGAAGACAGCTCGGCTTCTGCGATTGGTTCGTGTGGCACGTAAACTGGACCGTTACTCGGAGTATGGCGCTGCAGTTCTCATGCTTCTTATGTGTATCTTTGCTCTGATTGCTCATTGGCTGGCCTGTATATGGTACGCCATTGGCAATGTAGAGAAGCCCTATCTGGAGCACACCATTGGCTGGCTGGACAACCTGGGCATGTCCATTGGGAAGCAGTACAACTACAGTGACCCCTCTTCGGGTCCGTCGATCAAAGACAAGTATGTCACTGCGCTCTATTTTACATTCAGCAGTCTGACGAGCGTGGGCTTCGGAAATGTCTCCCCAAACACCAACTCGGAGAAGATCTTTTCCATCTGTGTCATGCTTATTGGATGTGAGTAGCAACAAGAGTTATCTCTCCAATTTAGAGCTGACATGAATAAAAGATCGAAGACAAAACAGTGCAGGTGACCGAGACAGTGTAGAACAAATGTGTGGTTCACGTGGACTATACAAGCTACACTTAAACAAGATGGTCCAGTAGTCTGCAGTAGTGCAAAACTAGATTAAAAATACATAGGACAAGAGGCAGAGAGTGTAATGTATTAGCATGTGAATAATGCTGAGTAAACCATAACATCAGTGTAGCCTTGTGCAAATGATATGTAGACTGTTATAGATAACAGTATAATTGTATTAACAACTGCTGAGTGGTAAATGTGGACTTTCCAGAGAAAGAGGCTGTCATTTAATACAGTAGCTAGTGCAAGGGTGTATGGGTGGAGGGGGACACTTGATTGTCATCCTTATTATTTTCGTGGTTTATTTCATCAGAATTTAGCAGTGTTCCACATTGTTTTAAGTAGTACTGTTAAACGTGCAACAACGTGCAAGAAAGCTTCCAAACAAGTTTTAGATTTTCCTGTAAACTCTGGGAATAATCTTGGTCATCCCTTCTCTTGACCTCTGCTCCCAGCCCTGATGTACGCCAGCATCTTTGGAAACGTGTCAGCCATCATCCAGCGACTGTACTCAGGAACAGCACGCTACCACCTGCAGATGCTCCGGGTTAAAGAGTTCATCCGCTTCCACCAGATCCCCAACCCACTCAGGCAGAGGCTGGAGGAGTATTTCCAACATGCATGGACCTACACCAATGGCATCGACATGAACATGGTATATGAGCGAGAGAATGTGTGTGTGCTCATGTTTGTGCATTTATTTGTTCTCAGGTCCCTTTTTTATCCCTTCTAAAACTAGATCACACTTGGCATGAGTCATACATCTTTCACTGAATTGCTGTTATTATTAGATTGTGAGGTTATAACAGTATTTATTGCTTCAAGCTGATCAGTGTCTGTCTCTCTCTTGTCTGCTTCGTTGGGATTTCAATACTCCGGTAAGAACAGGAGGTACAAATAACTATTCAGAGAGTATATTGAATATGTTTGCCTCACATCGTACAGCACTAGCTTATTAGATTGAGTGATGTCAGTTGTCTTCTGTGCTGTGCAAATTGTGTTTGTTTACCGTGTTATTATTATATATAATGCATGTGTAGTGCTACATCCAAATGTGACTTATGTATTTAAACTGAAATACTATTTCTGCACACTATCAGCAGTAATGTCAGCTGAACAAATCTAAAGGAGAATCCTTAAGCAGATTCTTCATTAACAAGGCCAGTTGGAGAGGGCATTGAGGCTGGCATGGTGCCATTTGCACTGCCACTTGTGAGCTTGCAGCCGACACCTGCACTTGCCAAATGATGTTAACCCTTTCCTTTCCAAATCTCCTCTGTCTTGCTCCAGTACTAAAGGTGTTGTCACACAGCCCTCTTCCAACAAAACTATAAAAATTTACATGTACTTGTTTTGAAGATCATGTGCTAGACACCATTTCACCATTAGTTCAAAATGCAGGGCTAATGTTTGCGAGAAGGACCATGCCTGAAGCTCCTCCTCCTCCCAATCTAACGTCCTATAAAATTCCATCTCTACTTTCTGTTTCCCAAAGTTTTTTTGTACCCCACCACTGCCCCATCTCCTCCCTGTTTCTGTCATCTCTTTTCATCAAAAAGGGGATCTGGCCTTCTGGCTCAAAGCAGAAGCCACCCAGAATTTCAGCCCAAGTTCTCTCCTGTCCTACAGTCATACTGTCTCTTCTTATACTACAACCATATGCTGTAGTCCCACACAATCATAGGCACGGTCTAAACGAACAAATTAATACTATTCACAGCATATCTGCTGTTAGCCGTAGTGGCAACAGTGAGTGTGGGTGTTACGCCAGTCTGTGGTACTGCGAAATGTAGATTGTAGGCTCTGGTTCACAGGTAAGTCCAGAATTTAAAACTTCTGTTAAACACTTTTTTTTGCTAATTAAGGGTCCCATATCATGGGAAGGCAGATTTTCTTTACTATTTCAAATTAGATTCATATATGGAAACTAAGCCTTAAAGGCAGTTTGTTTGTAATTCTTAGTTTTTGTGATGTCACAAAAAACACATTTACTTAAATCTGCCTATTCAGTTTACTGCAGTTTAGCTCCAGATATTCATCCTGAAGATATAAAGAGTGTTCAGCCTGGATTGTTTTTTTTTTAAATTATGCACAGTACAGAGCAGCCAATTAGAACAGAAGTCATTTACATATGTCTTAAAGGCACTGTAACAGAAACAGCCTGTTTAATTCTAAGGGATACAGTGGGGTGAGAAAATGGTCATATATAAATGAATTATATTTGTTTTTGATACATATAACCACACAAACTTTATAAAGGGACCTGAGGAGGTAAAATTAAGATCAAGAAATTAGGATATGGGCCCTTTAATATAAAATTATACATTAAACAGAAAAACCTCACACAGACAAGAGAAAAGTTTTGAAAACCAAAGGACAACACAAATGGCAATTGTGCTGTGTCTTTCACTTCTTCAATCTCTATTTTTCAACTCTCTCAACTGGAGAAACAAAACAAAGCCAAACCTTATGATTATGGCCAGAAATTCCCTCTCCGAAGAAAGTAGGGTGTGTAGCTTGTACTCTGAATTGAACGGCCTGAAGCAGGTGCATGCTGAGCTCTGCCTTCCTTTCAGAGTGCCTGCATTAACTGTCCTATCTCTCTCCTCCACATGGATCTCTCTATCTCTCTGCAGGTGCTGAAGGGTTTCCCGGAGTGTCTACAGGCTGATATCTGCCTGCATCTCAATCAGTCTTTGCTCCAGAGCTGCAAGGCCTTCAAGGGAGCCAGTAAAGGGTGTTTGCGAGCATTGGCCATGCGCTTTAAGACCACTCACGCCCCGCCGGGTGACACCTTGGTGCATTGTGGGGATGTGCTCACAGCTCTCTACTTCCTGGCCCGCGGATCTATAGAGATCTTGAAGGATGACATAGTAGTAGCCATTCTGGGTGAGTTTCTTTTATATCACAATCAGAATTGGTTTTATGGCCAAGTAGTTTGAGTAAACAAATGAAACAAAGTAGAACTGTGAATAGCACGTTATGCTCTTTTGCTGAGGTGTAATTACAAGTGAAAACTGTGATATAGAAACTCAGTAAGACTGTAGCAAACTAGAGTTTCTATATCTACTGAGACTGACACTGCTGCAGATACTGATGGGATTATTTACATTCAGAGGTAAACAAAGACACTAACATAGAAATTTAAACATGCCTGCAGGTTTTGCTACGAACATTTTTGAAATGAACATTTTGTCCTTTATGCAGTTTGTCTGAAGTTGAACTTGTGGTATGAAAAAGAACACTCTGTGCACACCATATCAACACTAAGAGCCTGTTTACATTTTGCATTAACATATATTTTCTGTCCAAATCGTATCCATATGAAATTAGGCAAATTCCATTTGCATTTTTCACTAAAATGCATCCCCCTTTGCGACTAAATGAGATTCGATCTTACTTCTCCTGCACAAAAAGCACATCAACACACGTTGTTTCCGTTCTACTTCAGTTTACCCTTTTCCCTGTTAAGATACGAGTGGACCACCTTGGCATGGATGCCTTCTTTGGCCTGGAGTGCATAAAGGCACTTGGTTTAGGGCTGATTTAGTCTTGCGTATCCTCCATCCTTTGTTTCATTGTTTATTCTGCTAGTCAGCGCTCGGCAGATGCCTGTTCGCTCATGTAATTGTATACAAATAATAAAAACACATTCTGATTACATCTGGGTTGAATAGGCAAGATCTCTGACCACCTTCAAATGTGGTTTGAGTGATCCTATAGTAATCTGCTCACAATACAGTGAAATCAAAATGTGGTCCGATCACCATGCATGTTAATGCAAGGTGTAAACAGGCCCTTTATTTAATTATTTCTAATTAATGCATTCTACTCATATAATTTCAACAATCTCTGCTCATATTGGTCTGATACGTGGTTTTGCAACATACATATACAAATGATGTTAACTGTCTAAAGCAGGGTTACCCAAGGTGTTGCCCATGGGCCAGTATTGGCTCGTGAGGTCTGCTAGGAAGTTACCCTAAAAACCTACCTACCTTCATTTTTTTGTTGTCTTGGCTTTTTGTCCCTGGGCCCGCCACAAACTTTGCTCCCCCCAACCTCGTAGGACAAAATTTGTAGGCACTCCTTATCACTTTGGTACGCACATATTGCATGCGGAAATAATCGTGAATGCAGGAATAATGTTTTCATTAATACTGTCTGTGTTAAGTCACATCTAAGTCTGAAACTGTGGACATTAAAACTTAAAAGTTTAACATTATAATCCATAATAAATGGGGCAGGTAATGGAAGCTGACGGTATCTGGGTCCGAGCTGGGTTTGTTTCCACTGCTCGGCTTACAGCTACTGCGTAGGAGTAGAATTTGTGTTGTAATGTTAGGCCAAACCTGAGAAATGGCTGACTTCTGGTGAAAGCACTTTAGGAGAAACAAGCAAAAAAATGAAGAAAAAAAACCCCAGTGTGAACAGTTACATAGCCTGCAGTCGTTTACCTGTCACACAATAATGATAATAATCTAGACATAATGATATAATCTATCTCTTGTATACCTGGTTGTGTTTGAGGGCTGGTGTTATAACAGTTATACAGTTGTCTGGTTTTACATTAAGCAGCCTTAGGGTGAGAAAAAGCAATAAAACACTTAAAGAACATGTTTTCCATGGTGTCCAAGGCAGAACTGGCCTTGTAGCTCAGTTCAGGTTGAGTTGTAGCTGTACCATGCACCATGGCAGAGAGTTCCTGGGAGCACATTTGGCCGTGTTGGCATTGGAAAGGACGGCCAGCATGGTCTCTCGCCTCCTTTGTCGCTAAGCAACATGTCAACCAGCCAGGTGCTTGCATGGTGGTTTGGCAGAGAGGAATGCTCCATGTTCTCTAGACGTGCTGAGGTACTTGCCAGCATTCACAGTGACCAGTAGTTCTGAACAGAGCAGTGTAAAAAACAGTTATTTAGCCAACAGCATCTAGTTGAATAAATGTTTTTATCTCTAGCTAACTAACTATCCAAGTACCCAAATAGCTGGTCAGTTGTCTGTATACCTGAAATTTCAACTCAGCCCTTCCTGTTACCAGTGTAGCTGTTGGTAAACGTTCTTAGTCTTTCTCAGGATAATAAGCAACATTACGTCATTGAAAACAAGCTGTTGTGCTTAACTACTACTACAGCTACTAGTACTACTACTTGAAATAGTGCCCTAATGTTTTTGCATTTTACTGCCTCTTGCTCAAGTGATTTTTGCATAATTTTTCAGCCCCCTCTCCACCTTTATGGTGCACATTTGGCCATTTCTCATCAATTTTCTTTTCCCTTTGTACATTTGGTTTCTGCTTTGGACTATCTCTTTCTGTCTGTGGACCAGTAGCATGTCCAGCAGCTAGAGCGGCCTACCAGGAGTTCCTCTGGTACTCTCAATGGCCAGTCCATGCTTGCTTCATGCTTTGTCATTCAAGAAAATAAAAAAAGAACATGACCTACTGCATACCGTTGTTAAGGCTGATGCTCATAAGCATCAGGCATTTACTGTAGCAAGTAAAGTGACAAAGATAGTACCATATTAGGTCATGACATTCTGACCCATGTCACTGCCTGGCCTTCAGCTGTCCCTATTGCCAGGTCAGGCCTACTTTAGACTAAACCACCTGCTGGACTGCCATAGTCAAGATTTTTGGGTTCTATTCTATTCCAGCTTTTTGTTTATTCTAGTCAGATTTAAAATGGCCAGTGGAAAATGGGCTGTGACTGCAGTTTACTGTAAACACATAAACACACCTAGTGGGCAAGCAGCTCTTTTTTAGCAGGATATGTTCGGAATACTTCAGAGAGAGACAGTGCTTACAAAAGAGGGGCTCAGAAAAGAGTAAGAGAAGTGAGCGCCGTGGTGCATGAAGTTATTCATTATATTTCCTGATTGTCAGCTCAAAATGATAGAGTGGCCACAAAGACAGTTGCTGTTTTTCAAATTTATTAACAGCTATATTTGTATCTCTCACTAACACACAAACACTTACGCACACACCCTTTTTGGTACTCTCTTTCTCTCTCTCTCTTTCTCTCTCACACACACACACAGACACACACACAAGGTGGGGCAGGGTAAGCCGAATTTAAACGGCCCATTTCTCATTCTCCGAGCAAGCTAGCAGCGACATAATAAGGCCAGGGGAAGAGAACGAGGGGACGCTGTAACACACACACATACGCACATGCAACTCAGCGAAATTACTCTGCAAACTTGCAGAATTGCTGAGGGAAGCTTCTACTGTTTCATATATGTGCTCATGGGTTTCAGCAGAAACTTCATTATCAGCAGAAATCTATTATGAGATATCACAGACAAGCCCTTCATTACATGGCAGCACTTATTACCACCAGTCCAGTGTGTATTACATCAACAAGCTCAAACTGCTTCAGTAGCAACCACAACAAACTTGGCATAACAAACTTTGCTGTAAGCCAAGACCCTAACCCTATGGATCCTGGATTACCAACCCTTTGACCCCAACCATGACCCAAGCCTACTCAGTGACAGGTGGCAGCAGTCCAGATGGCCACTGTTTATCTTAGTCCACTCTGACCTCTGATGTGCTGTCAGTTTGTAAAATGAGATGTCAGGCCATGGCCTTTTTGTCAGCCCGTGTTTCAGAACAACAGGAGACATGAGTCACTGAATGCCAGAATTCCCTCACTAGGTTTGTATGATCACTTGAAATATGCCATTATTTCCGATTACACCCCTTAGCCATCGCTGACCGACTTGCAAATAAAGGTGTAATTAATCAAAATCCACGGTTGAAGTCAATATTATATGGTGGCATCTCTATTCGATACATTTTACAAGACAGTGCAAATAATCACCATCCCAGAATTGTGCTTTGGGATTAAGGATATTAAATTCTTTTATATATGTCTATAAAATCATATTTGAAACTGACATAGGGACGTTTTGCTTGATCTGTTCACTGTTTTTTTATCAGCAGGAACAGTTTCAAACAAGACAAATCAAATGCTGTGGTTTATAATATAGCAACATCAAATCAAACAGAATCGTTCAGTTGTTTTCTTGTAGTTCCACCAACTGACATATAAGAGTGATGTCCTCAAAAATGACTGGACATGCTGTTGCTGTCCTCTAATACGTTAATGTGGTAGCCAGAAGCTAACAGCTTGCTGACAAGTTGCATGTCTTTCTCCCCCTGTATTCGGTTTCAAGGTAAAGAGGAACCTGTGGGCTTCTTTAAATTTTTACTACACCTCATGCATATTTGCAACAGTTTGTTGAATATGTTGTTCAAAGCTGAAAGTATTTTGAATCGAGACCGTTGTCTCAAACAAAAGAGTACAATATTATCTTTTTCATTTCTCATTATTCCTTCTTCCTTCATGCCTTCTGTCTTTCTTGTGTTTTTTGTGGCACAGGCAAAAACGACATCTTTGGTGAGATGATTCACCTCTACGCCAAGCCTGGAAAAGCCAACGCTGACGTGCGGGCACTCAGCTACTGCGATCTCCACACTCTGGACAGAGAGGAGCTGCTGGAGGTGCTGGAGATGTACCCGGAGTTTGCGGACTACTTCTGGTCCAACCTGGACCTCACATTCAACCTGCGCGATGAAAATCCAAAGGTAGAGCTGCATCTCAACATGCACTTGAACACAAGTCACAATAACACAGCTCTACTCTACACATCACCTGAACAAGATTGACACTGACAGTAAACGTCTTTTTATCAGCCATTCTGGTCCACTGTGAATTCTTTTCTAATCACCTGGAACCTGCATCAACAAAACATTCTATTGTTCTGCGGCTTTTGTGTGGACTTCGGCTTATTGAAACTTAATTATCTCTCTTTGAATAAAGGTTTTTAAAGACATGGATTTTATTATTATTGGTATGTTTTAATCTTCCAGTGAAGAACTTTGTAAACCTGTTAAACTTGTTTAGAAATGGGCTATATATAAATGTATTTAATGCATATAATATACATTTATTATTTATTTTAATTATTTATATTCTCCTCTTCTTTCTTATCTAGTTCACTACTGTTCGCCAGAGGAATCTGTACACTGCAGTGAGTGACTCAGACCAGGATGAACAGAACAGCAGGTCTCAAGCCTGCTTTAAGAGCCAGCCATCTGCAGGTAAAGCTGTGCCCTCATCCAATCTCTTCTCATCCTCCCTTCATTTCCATATTTCACATGAAGAGAAAATCAATCCAAGCATTCAAAGACTTCCCATTTCATTTTTCCTTGTCTCCTCCCTACATTCTCCTTTATTTCCCCACCCCTCTCCCCTCTCCTTTCATGTCTTCTGTCTTGGTTTCAGCCAGTTGCTATGGTGGCAGTTGGTATCAGCTGCTTGCTGTTAGTCTGTCGCAACTGATAGGAATATAAGGATGCAGTATGCTTTATCAACCTATAGAGGGAGCGCTCCTCCATCTGTCCCTGTATGACCTGTCCCTGAGTTAGTTAATCCCTGCCAATTCATCTCCTCTTCTGTATGTAACATTAGTTTTCCTACAAAGTTTCATTATCCCTCCCTCTCTCTCTCTCTCTCTCCCCCTCTCACTAACTCCCTCCCTGACTCTTTCTCTGGACTCTGATCAGATGGACAGTGACAAGCAGAATGACATTTAGACGTATACAGAGTGTCTGCATATGTCACCGTAGCCAAATACATTCTGTCTCTTCCTTCAGGCACCCCAAGCCGACAGAGAGAGGCAGAGAAAGAAAGAGGGAGAGAGATAGATGCGCACCCCCTCCAGCATGAAGAGGAAGAGGGGGAGGAAGAGGAAGAGGAGAAGAGGAGAGACGAGAAAGAGGAGGATGAAAAAGAAGAGAAGAGAAAGCTAGGCTTGGGGGTGCTGGGCCACTCCCTCCCTCTGAACCTGAACACCCTCACTGACTCGCACACTACGGACTGTGCTGGGAACACAGCGTTTTACAGTGGTATTGCCACACGTATATAAATCAAACACACATGAAAAAGTCAATAGGAGTAAGAATGATGCAGTGATTGTTGGTTTGTAAGTGATTATTATAATATAGTTATGGCTTTATGAAGGTTTTGCTGGAGGTGTTAAATGCGTCGCCTGCTCTTAAACATGAGTTTGTGTCTCAGTGTGGAGCTCCTGAAGCACTGAACACTGTTATTATCACTCAGGGCCGTCTATCTGAACAGCTGCAGAGCATTGCACACCATTATACTCGCTGCAGGAAGCTCTCTCTCTGTTCCTCTCACTCACTCTCTCTCATTGCCTGCTGTAATGCATGTTTTACAGTAAAACTATTAGGCTGAAAGTAATAATGTACCATTGTGACTCCAGTATACACACACTCGCATATATATCGCTGTTGTCAGAAGAAAACCCTGTATCTCCAAAATGATAACTTTACAAGAAAAGGAAAAAACTTACATTACTTGTAATGCAAGTCAATGTAAGACATTTTGGGCCGTTTCTTTCAGTCCATTCTTCATGAAATTTACACACAATGTAAAGGGCAACAGGCATTTTTAAATTATGTCAAAAAACTGAAAAACAACAAAAATGGAGATGTGCGTATACACATCAGCGCGTTCATGCACCTAACCAAGAGATTCTGCAGCTGTTGGGATAAATGAGTAAAATTGCTGTATGAATATGAATGCATGCTTGTGTGAAACTGTACAGGACAGTCTGGGCCCAATGTAATAAGCCTTTTGAGCCAGTTTTAGGCACAAATCATACACAGTCTGTCGGTGTGTTGTGTACAAAACTGATGATGCATTTGATGAAAGGCTGCAGAAAACATGGGAGGATTGCAAGAAAGGTGTATGGAGATATTACACATGCAAATGATTACATATTCTGTTTGATTTAGTTGTGTGTATATTTTTGTTAAACCAGACAGAGTTAGTCTCCAAAGACGTACAGTTGAGAGACTTAACAATGCCAGTAGACACAGCGGTGAGATGGCAGTACAAGCCTCGAACACATGCTGTTTAAACTCTCAGATGTACATGACGCGCAGCATGAAATGTCCTAGGACGTGGCTGCAGCATGCTGCGTATAAAAATAACACCCCTGTACAAAGTTTTTGTGGGAGGGATGGAAAGCCATACATTTATTAGCATTCTTTGTCACTGAACTGTGATGTTCTTTTTGTCCCCAGCTTGTTGATGGCTGTTATTTCACTGTGTACCTTGCAAGCGAGCATTTAGTGGACGGGGCTACACGTAGTTTGTGTTATAAGCTGCAGTCTTAGTAAATCGAACATTAAAATCAGATGAATTATGGGTGCATATTGCGCTGCGCCAGCGTTTGTACATACATCTGGCCCTCTGTTTTTTGTGTTACTGTGTGTTTAAATATAATATGCCTCTGTACAGAATGTTCTGCTTATTTTCTGTTTCTGTGGCTGTAATTAATAGCACTGGGCCTGTGTGTGTCCCCAGATGTGTGTGCTGAAGAATGGCCTTGTGGGAACGCTGATGACTCAGCACAATCTCAGGACAAAGAGGGCGGAGCTGACTGCGAAAGTGACATCACGTTTGGGGAAATGGAGCAACGACTAGACTTGCTGCAGGAACACCTGAACAGGTGAGAGAGAGCTAGAGAGAAAGAGAGAGAGCTTGAAAGAGACATAGGAGGTTTCTACTTGCGAGTGTTGCCCCCTGGTGTTCACACACTCCAATTATCTTGGTTGTGTAAGTATGTTTTTCTTTGTGTGTGTATGTAGACTGGAGGCTCAGATGACGTCTGACATCCAAGCTATTCTGCAGCTGCTGCAAAGGCAGAGTGCACTGGGACCCCCGGCGTACAGTACGGTAGCCTCCAGCCCTGAATACCACAAACCAGCCATCAGAGTGCAGCCTGTTACTGCTATACAGACACAGGTAAAACCTCCCAGGAATTTGGGACATAACTTTAGATCCTTTTAGACTGAACTTCGTTTTCAACACCGTTTCTCTTCTGAAGATTTTTTTTAGTCCTTGCTTGTGGCTAAATATATTTCCATTACCGTTTACAGAGTCCTGATATAGAAAAGCCTGATGACAAATCCAAAGACTCCGCACTCACTGCTACCATGGAGACAACCTCTGATGGAAGCAGGATGACCCCACTGGTGAGGGACTCGGAGTGGGAGGTGGAGATTGGACTAAAGCAGAGGGAAAAGGAGCAGTCTGATTCGCCACATAGGAGGGCTCTCCAGCTGTCAGTCAGACAGGCTTCCCTCCCTGACTCATCTCCTAGCAACGGCAGAACACTAGGGCTCCACAGGCCCTGCTCTGATCCTGGACTTCCAGGGAAGTAGCATTAGGTCAATGGCCATGATTATGATGCATTATTACACAAATATTAATGTAATTAAGATGGGCATGTATGTGAGCTCCTTGGAGGCACAACAGGCTATAAGAAAGCCTGAGTTTGAATCCTGATAATTCAAGTCCAAGATCATACAACCGGCCCTCCTGCTCTCAGAGCCCACAGCTGTCCTATGACGCTATTAAGAAGCACATACTTAACACTGCTAGATTCCTTGGTAGGACGTTTTAGACAAGTGGGAATTTGCAACAATTAACACTGGATACATACTTGGATAGAAACAAAAGAAAGAAAATAAAATAAAAAATATGTGACCATTTTAACAATATGGTCATATTTGTTTTTTACATGTTATAATGCATTATAAACATGGCAAGCAGAAAGCTATTCCAGAATCATTCTTCTTTCTGACTGAACACTGGAAACCAGCTTAAGCCAGACTCAGGGTACAAGGGAGATAAAGAGAAAGAGGGAAAAAAGAAAAACTGAAATACTGTATGCAAAGTACAATGTATTATCTTCCAAACCTTTTTGACTTTCCCACTTCAGCGCACAGATGTAAAAAGAATACAGAATGTATTTCTCCAGTATGACCACACAAGCTTCTGTACTATGTAAATATCACTCAAGGAACACGGCCAGAAAACAGGCGCGCTGGACATGCAACCGTAGCAACAGGAGAGATGCATGCTGGGAAGAATGTGCTGTTTTTGTTGCATGTTTATAAAAAGACTGTTGTGCTGCTGATCACATGACTTGGGCATGATTTTTTTCCTTCAAAATATCACTTTTAATGAAAAAAAATTTCTATACTATTCTCCTGGTATTCAGGAGCAGGCTTTACTTGAACTGAAACCTACAAAAGGACTATGGCATCATCTCAAAATATCTAGTTTCTCCTTCCCCATTATCGTTATTAATGTTCATGGGCTGTTTATGCTTAACCACCACATTAACCTGTTGTAGCCAACCCTCTGTTTGCCAGTATTGCAATATTGTGCCTCAGTATTGACTTTGGTAGGATTTTCTCAGTGCATGTTGACTTGTGTGTGTGTTTATCAGGAACCCAGTTATACTCACTCAGTTATTTTTATTTTGTATTATTTATTTATTTATTTATTATCTTTTAATATAAGTAGACCTGCTATGGTATGTTATACCATACTTACTGAAGAGGAAGATCTACCACATCACCTATACTACTGCTAATTAACAGCAGATATGAACATTTTATTATCTTAGTCTATTACCAATTATCTGTGTGTATTCCCCTTTACCTCCTAGAGTGAATTTCTTTTCTTTCTGTCAGCACAAAGGCTGTATACTATAATTCTGTCATATAATTGTAGCTGCGTTATGTCCATTTTACTATAGAAATATAAATATGATGACCTTAGATAATTAGGTAACTTAGGAACGGTAAAACAAGTATTAGGATTCAGGGCAACTGTATGACCTGGACCCAGACAATAACCAACTGGAATCTGTTCTTTCCTTTAGGGTGGTAAGGCAATATTCCAAACATGGTTCTATAATTTAATTGACTCAAATTTAATGGACATCAAATAACACCATTAATGGAGCACTGAACAAAACCAGACTGATACCACTTGATTCCAAAATGAGACTTTTCAAATGTCACTTTAGAACCTGTGTTGGAATCAAGACTGCCCTCACTGTAACAGCCATCATTAGTCTATGATTATACACTATGTTATAAACACTGAAATGTCTCACATATTCTTTTATTCATAGGCTAAAATGCCACATGACTCCAGTATGTGTAATACAAATAAGTACAGCTGAATTGCATGTTTAACCAAAGTTAGTCCTTTTAGTTGTATATCATAGCGTAACCCTGAGGCAAAGGCACCACATTGAAAATGGTCTTCCGGGGGTCTTCAGTGTATTCCCATATGCATGTTTAACCATTCTTAAAGGGGCCACCTACTATAGAAAGTCTGAAAAATGAGACGATTGAATATTAAGCGGTGAGGTAGTTTAGAATATTGTTGTTGCCAGAAAATCTCCTATATCCTATACAGCTTTACAAGAGAGAGGAAACATCTAGACTTTCCAACTAATCATTACAAAAGACGTTCAAGCATGTTTAGGCTCTGTAAAGGCTGCAGAATACCTAGATCAAAAAGGTAACATGCAGAATTCAGATTATAAAATGTTAAAACCTTTAGAAATGGAAATAGGACGTTTTCTCGTCACATCAGCAACGTATAGATGACGAAGGCTAAAAGCTTACCCCTGTGCTGACACGTATTGTTAGTTTCCATTATTTGCCTTTTTAAGGGCAATTTCTGTTGCAGGTGTTGCTAAATATATTCTGCTCAAACAGCAATTTCAACACGGTTCATCTCCATGTTTTTAATAAGCTAACACTGGAAAAGATGCTGTATGTTGTTTCTGAGGCCTGATCCCATATGAATTAAGCATCTCAGGGTGTAACTATTAATCTATGATCAGCTCTTTCCTGTTCAGGTAAGCATGTTCACTTGGATAACGCAAGGTAAAAACTGATCCTAGATCCTGACTCTGAGAGGTTTGATACATATGGTCTCAGAACTGAGCTTAGTGCCAGTTGAATGTGACACAAGAGTGCGATACTATACAATTTGCAACCTTTTGCACATGCACTGCAAAACTTTCTGTACAGTGTCACTTTTTAAAATCTAGTGCTGTTCACAAATAAAATTGTTTTTAATGCATTTTTTAAATGTTTGCCACTGTATTTTATACAATGCAACACACAACACCAGATTAGAATGCTTCCTTCTCTTGGATATAAGCAGTATATTGCTATGTATTATATATTATGCTGTATATTGTGAATACTGACAGAGTTGATAAAAACATGCAGTTATGTAAATGAATAAACAACAGAATGCCTAAGCAAATGTGCTATGTGGTGATGTCCAAATGATAACCAAAATACACACAAGGTAATTTAATAAGTAACTACTGTGATAACATCCTTGTTTCTACCCTATGTATGTAAATGGTTAACCAATTAATCATTACCTGCAAAATTGTCTAATACTGTTGGTTAAAAATATGTTCATTTTAGTTTAACTTGTTTATGATTTAAGATGAGGAATGTTTTTCAATTGACCGCCTGAGGCAACTGGTTCCGCTACAAAAGCGCACAGTTAAAAATAGATGTTCGGGACCACTTTTTGAGAGGACAATAACAAAGATGAACCACATCGAAAACACACACATCTGCAATTTTCTCAGAGAGAAAGTATGAAGAAACCACACATATATACAAAAGTATAGAAAAATATGGGCAGCAACAGCTTTTGAGAGCTAGTTTGCCCCAGTAATGGTATTTATGTTCATTTTATGTTTTAACTTAGGGTAGTGATGGAAATGTAGAACTTTGAAATCTATAGAACTTTCAGTAGGTCATTTTGCCAATTTTTTTGTTTTTGGTCATGTAATCATGAACATATATTCGTTAGCCCCTTGATGTAAACAAAACAGTTCTTTTGTAGCGAATGTTTAATACAGTTTTGGGCCGTTTACTTCACCCTTATGTTTTTTCCGCGTATAAGTACTGTTGTCCATGCAAGGAATACTTTTTAGTATTTCAGTATTCAGTTGGTGTGTGGTGGAATCAGTTATTTTTCAATGGCTATTAAAGTGGTTCCTCCAATCAGATTTCAGAAATCAACGAAAGATGGTTGGTTATCAGCCAAAAGAAATTTTCAAGCTTTGCATCCCTAGTTTGTTTCATAAACCACATATACACCCACAGTCCGTCTCTTCTCACCTCACACACTAAGCAGCAGTGCAACCCCTGCGAGCACCCATTTGGCTGGCCTCTCTCTGGTTTTAAGATTAAACGTCCAGACATGTGTGTTTGCTCTGAGTTTGGTCTTGTAGACGGGACATTCATAGATGTTACGTGTCTCCTGACGGTCATTGGGAACTGCCCGCACTGCAATGACAGGAATGCTGGGAGTTAACTCCTTCAGCCGTGCCTCCATGATTGTTCCATTCTGGATATCCCAGCGTGCACCTGGAATCAGATGGAAGGACATTTTATTTCACTGAACTCCGAAGTTTCAAAGTGAAAAAGACACTCATTCTGTTTTATCAGATTTTTAAATTACTTCGCTCAGTACTTATTTGAAGCTAAGACTGAGGCTTAGGTTGGTGTATCTGTGCTGTGAGTTTTTCAGACCTTCCATATAGAGACCATAGACATAAGCTCCCTCTCTGGCTGGCTGGTTAAACTCCTCCTTAAACTTCTTGGTCACATCCACCGTCAGAGTCATTTTATCAAGTGGCCACTCATTCTTACGTGCCAAGCTCTGCATCACAGCTGCAACACACAGTAATTAGTGCGTTTGTGCGGAAAGGAGGCTGCAGGCATCTGCTGGAGAAGAAGTGGGCAAATGCTTTGTATGTGTGTGAGTTACCTGTGAGGAAAGACTGAGGGTTGAACAGTCCTGATAGCCAGACTACACTAGGCAGAGAGAGATCCTGGGTCCAGCTGTCCAGCTCTCTGCAGCGGAGCAACACATCATTGTACCTACACAGAGAACAGGCATTAGTACAAACACACAAAAGGAAATACCAGAGTTATTATTAGTGAAGGCATGATCATGTAAATACAGTTCATGCTCACTGTCTATTGGAACTTTGCAGGATTTTTAAAAATAGTTTATATGGTGGTATGGATGTCATAAGCAAAAGTTTGGGCACCTTTGATAGACACGTTTTGATAGTGCACTTCTGCACATTCTAATGTGCAATAACTGTTTATTCGCTGAATTTAATATATTGAGGAAAAATAATGTCTATTATTATGGCATGGAAGAAATGATCACTTAGAAAATCAACAAAACAAGTCATTTGACCAGGGGTCTTTATATATATATATATATATATATATATGTGTGTGTGTGTGTGTGTGTGTGTGTGTGTTAGTTACCACTGTGCCAGGTTGTAGGTAGAGGGATAAGCCAGTTTAGTCCAGGTGTCAGGAACATTATCAAAGAACAAAGCTGTCTGTATTTGCTCCATCTCTGAAGATATAGCCAACTCCCCCTACCAAACAAAGAAATAGGTACACACACACACACACACACACACACATATATGTATATATATATATATATATATATATATATATATATATATACATACTTTTGGTCTATTTATCATGAAATTTATACACAATGTAAAGGGCATTTTTAAATTATGTCAAAAACCCAAAAACATCAAAAGTGGAGATACGAGGTTTTGTTCTGACAGCAGCGATATATATGTTTTTTTTCTTCCATTAAAAGTTCATGAAATCCTATTTTGGAGATAAGTGGAGATAAGGAATGACATATCACTGTTTGTGGAAAACAAATGAATTTCTCAGATTTAATTCAAAGTCTCAAAACCTGGGTTTCAAACGTGACCAGATATTATACAGGTTAATGGAAGTTTCACTAATAGACATTAAATACTTGTGTCTGTGCTTAGAATAGAACATGCCATAAATTTGTTGAATGGATTCAAGGAGGCATCAAAAATAATCTATTTTACTAAGCCTATTTATTCATGCCATTCAACTGTTGTTAAGAATTTGGCATAAAAAGCAAAACCTCAGTAGGGCCAAAAACAGTTTTTGTGCCAAAAAAAGTGGACGAAACATCTCTCTCTCTCGTTCACAAAAGCTTTTCCAAATTGTACTGACAAAAACACAAAAATTCCCAGTTTAAAGCTCTATTGAAT